ATAGCCTGACTTGCAATTTCTTTACCATTGCCTATATTCTGCTATATACTATCAGATGTTTATCTCAAAGTATAACTTTCACAGAGCAATAAATTACTTGTAACGCTTCACTCCCTAGAATAAGAAACAGGTTATATTTGGGTCACTTTAACCCTACAAACTTGGCTTCCTCCAGAAAACTTTACCATCTCAGTTGTATTTTAAAATATATATATATATAATTTATTTGGTACAGGGTCTCACTTCATAGTGACCACTCTTCATAGTGATTCCCCTCCTGTCTCAGCCTCCCCAACTCTGGGATTACAGTCGTGCACCACCACACCCGGTTTCGGTGGCCAGCTCTGACTAGGTGAGCCCAGGGCAAGGCTAGCACAGCATGTGGTACCCGAGATCCAACTGGGGACCTTGTGCTTGCCAGGCAGGTGCTTAGACCACTAAACTATCTCCCTGAACCTCAGTTATGTTTTAAATACAGATAGATGAACTTACTCCTGTTTCTGATCAGATACAAGAAATGAAGTGGGACTGGGGAGACAGTTGAGTGGTCTAAGTGCCTGTGTGGTGAGCTCAAGGTCTGGAGTTCAATCTCCCATACCGCATGCCATGCCAGCCCCAGTGCACATGCCTATAATCCAATGCTGCAGAGGCTGAGACAGGTGGGGAGTCCAAACTGCATATCAAGACCTTGTGACAAGCAAACAAATAAATACATATTTTTTTAAAAAGAAGTGAAGGGACCTCATTGTTGGAATTACCTTAAAATATATAGTACATGAATGAACACCCTATTCACAACTTTGTGATTTATTAGTCTACTCATAGTTCTTCTGTCCTCAGTGAACAATATTGTAGTTGTTTGTAGTGTGTTAGTCCCTGTGTGTCTTTAGTCCCTGTCTGTACATACCAGGGACTTCTCTAAATGTCAGTCAGTTATCTGTTTCTGGCCCTGTGCAAGGCCTTGAAAAAAAAACATAATCACCAATAAGCTTGGTTTCTACCATCAATACATGTAGCCTAGAAAAGGGAGACAAATAGGTAAAGAGCAAGTGCCTTGACTCGCTGTAGTTGCTGGACAGGAGTTACTTGTAGTATCTTCCGTAAGGAGCTAAGGAAAGGCAAGGTCAGCTGTGGACTTGGAGTCAAAATGTATTCCTCGTGACAGCTTAAGGTGGGACAGATGGAACTTGGTAGAGCAGTTAACACTTGGCCGAAAAGCTTGGTGAGTGTCTTAAGAGTAAAATGGAACTGGAGTACCATTTCAAGCAGAAGTAACAATGAGAAGGAATGGGGCAAGAAACAGAGAGGTACAGTAGTATCTCAGAAGCTGCCGTGTAGGTTGGAAAAGATTTCACAAGAAGCGCAGCTATGAGGTAGGTATTGAGCAGATCCTACCTTCTGAGTGTGTCAGCTTCTTTCTCCCTGTGAAGGCTGCCAGGAAAGGCTTTTAGGAAGTTGAACAGTGTGGCCCCTAAACAGGCGTACAGTCTAAATGGTGTGGTGTAAGAAGTAACAACAGGAAACTGTTGTGTCAGATTGTTTGCATGGAGATTCTGACCTATAAAAGTAAAGGTTGCAACCAGGAAGCAAGAACAGATGTGGAATGTTAAGAGGAATGAGTTCTGTAAACTTGGAGAAGTGAGTAGATCTGTATCATGCCTCCACATTTCCTGGAAGGTGTGAGTATTCTTCCTCTTGCTGGAGACCACTAAAAGAAGAGAAGTTTGTAGGGAAAAAGTATCAATCCGTAGTAAGAGAGATCAAATTTGAGGTATTTGTGGAAGTTAAAGTAGTTCAATCTCAAGTACGTACATAGATAACATATACCTGGCCATAAAGTTCAAGATAGTCATGATGGAGGTGAATATTGAATACAGCTGAAAATACTGATGAAAAGCTCCTTGATTACATCGTGAAGATTTCCAAATGGCAGAACATTGGAGAGTAGCAGTTACAAGGTACCCAGAGAGGAAGGAAAGGGGTATGGAGCACAGAGGGAGTTGGTTCAGGAAGGAGAGGCAGGCTAGACCAACAGACCATGGAGACAGTGTCTTGCCACAGTGGGTTGGGAATGATTGTCACCACTGTCCAGATACCAGATTCTGATTGAACTTGGCCTTTAGAAAACATTGGTAACTCACACCACGTATTTGCAGAACAGTAGAGACCAGGTTGCAAAATGCCTTGGGCATTTTTTAGGAAGAGAACCCTAAGAGAGGTTTTAGTCACCCTTGTGGCAGCCTAGCTGGTCCGCTTCCTTTGCAGTTCTTGTGGCTGTTGATCTTAAATTTGGGCTAGTGGTAGATGTATGCCACTGTGAGCCATCATGTGAAATAGGAGCCCAGTCTGTAGGCTCCCCTCACAGCCAGTACCCTAACAGCCTTCGTGTAGTTAGCACCAGACTGATGAGCAAGAGATAAGCTGAGTCCAGTCCATTGTGTCCTAAGTTCGCTCAGTTATAGCATCTTTCCCTCACATTAAGCAAGAGGTTGAGAAATTTGTTACTTGTAAGATTCAGGAAAACCCAGGCTGCTACCCAGATTATGTCATTAGTGGGCACTGTGGGGATGCAGCACTACAGCAGCGATAGCTGCCTCTGAGGTGCCACAGACAGCAGTGTGCCACAGACGGCACCTAGAACTAATTTGAACATTGCCTGCTTATGCTGATTATAAGAATCAATAAAGTCTAGGGAAGGTGTGGTGGGCTAAACCTTTTGTATGTAGCAGGAAATCAGAGATAAAATCTAAAACTAGTAATTCTAGTAGCCTGACTGGAAATAACTGGAGATAATCACTAAAACTAAAGATGAACAGTTAGAAATGGTTTCCTTGACAAAGAGATGGGGCCAGGTGCACTGAGTTCTCTGCTCACTGCTTTGAGAATCAAAAGCTTCCTTATATTTTTGTCTGGTTGACAAAAATTGGTTCATTATGTCTTGGGAAAACTGATGGACTTCATTAAATTTATTAAATGCTTTATCATTTTCAATGCCATTATAAATGAAATTATTTCCTTAATTTTATTTAAAATGGTAAGTTACATTTGGTTTACAAAGTTATGAATTATGTTTTTCTATGTATTCTGAGTTTTCTGTGATAAATGAGTATTGTACTTAGAGGGAAAAGTGATTGTAAATTTTAGAAATATTTTATTAGCTAAATAGTTTTGGTTGCAAGTAGCACATATTGATTCCTGCAAGTAGAACCATTTGAGAAGATACTGGGCTAGCAGTAGACTCACTGAAAACTGGCAGACCAGGAAGAGATGAGAGCCAGGGCTTTCGAGAGCACTCTCCATTACACGAGGCCACAGTAACCACCGCACTCTGGCTTCTTGGATTGTCTCTTTTTTGGTGTCTTCAAGTTTCAAAATTAGGAGCATCCTGTTGAGTTACATAAGTATCTCACACTTAGCAAGGAAGTTACGTGGCCCTTTGATTTATAGCCCTCAGGCACACATATCAAGGAACAAGTGATTCACCAAAATGAAATCAGGGTGCTATTATCCAAGGAAGGGAAATAAACTCTGATGGCTAAAAAGCAATGCATTCATCACAGTGTAGAACTTGGTACTAATGCAGAATTACAGTTTTCAGTGTGGTTAATAAACAACAGTCTTCAAAATGAATAAGGAGTCATTTGTTTCAGTACAGTGATTCCAGTTATTGTCACTTAACCTCTGTTGCTGTGGCTGGCCTTGTTGACTTTCAGCACTTCCCCGAATGTGTCACCCCATCCCTTCCTGGTGTACCCAGTCTGCTCACCCAGACTCGGCCCAAGCCCTGCATCTCCCAGGAAGGCTTTCATCCTCACACCCATCTTCTCCTGACTGCTGAGCAGGCACTTTTCTGTCCTTGCCCATTGTGTTGTGTCCACCTATCTCCCACACCAGCTAGACTGGCAGGGTCTCTGCCCTGACCTTGTTTGATTCTCCAACCTTTATACAACATGTACACAACAAAACATTGAGTATTTGTTCACTGAATGAATGGGTAGATCTTTCAGAAGAAAAGAGATGAGGCATTTCATACGGAGCCCATGTGTCTAAAGGCACATGGTATGTTCAGGGACTGCTGAGATGTTCTGAAGGGTGAATGCATAGAAGGTTTGCAGAAGAGACAAGTCAGCCTCCTACACTATGTCTAGCCCCTTAGGAAAACACCAAGTGCAATTTGGGAAGAGCACCAGGGCAAGACGCTGAGGCTTTGTGATGAATATGCAATGGTTAACAGCTGGGCCAGCAAAGAGATTCTGTCTCTGGGAGCTAAAATGGGCAGACTTGGTGTGGGAGCAGATTCACCCACCGGGCACTTGCCTAGGCACTGGGCGTAGTAATACAGACCAGAATCTACTTCATGGAGCCTTCATTCTACAAAGAGCAGGCAGATGAGACAACATAGAGAAATTGAGGCAAATAGGTACAGTTCCAGAGTTGCAGGGCCGCAGTGCATTTGAAGTGCCTGGAATTGTACTCTCAGGGTTGAGGGCAGGGCAGTCTGGTGTCTGCACTGCAGATTTCTCCAGTGTGCAGAGATATCTCCCTACTGCGCACATTGCAGTCACGTACTCTGAAGTGTTCACAAGCAGAATGACCGGTTCCTGATGATTTTTATACTGTGGCTCTCTACAGAAATATTGCAAGAAAAGAAAAAAACATTATCACAAGAAAATACTTTGTTCAGCAAAAGTGATGTGCTTGTCTCATACTGCACAGAGATATTTTTAAAGCTGAATTAAATATGTGACAGTGTAAATAAATGCCTGTCACTGACTGTGTTAAAGACAGTTGCATTTGTCAGTTTCTGATGCCTGAAAGATAATACAGCATTTTAAATCCATATTGAGAACTAAGTTGCGTTGCTTGTTCTTCAGTAATAGTGGACTGTTGGTGAGCAGTGGTCGAATGCTTGTGAACATTGGTCTGTGTGCGGCAGTCCGCTCTTCGTGACTTAGCCAGTGGTGGGTTCATTCAATGATGAAGGCCCCTTCTCGTTCCAGGGTGCTGATAAGACTGTGAAAGGTCCGGATGGACTGACCGCCCTCGAAGCCACCGACAACCAAGCAATCAAAGCGCTCCTGCAGTGATGGACGATGGACTGATATAGCTCGGAAAGAATGACTCTCCTGTGGCCTCACACTGCTGCCTGTCTGTCTGTCACTCTCTATCTGCCAGCTTCTTCAGCTAAATACTTTAAGAGGGGTGAGGGGAGAGAGAAATTCATAACAAATCAGACTACCAGATAAAACAATGTTTGGAGGAGGGGAGACCGTGACCAGGCTCTGACCGGGACTCCTGATCAAGCCAGCCTCTTCTATTTCTAATAAAATACACAGCGTAGACCCAAGAGAGAGCAAAGACACACTGGGAACATTTGACCTTTCAGCTCCCTAGCTATTGCATTAATTAGATTGTATTGAAGGTCTGATTTTACAAAGGCCAACTCTTATTCAGCAGCCCTAACTGCAAGCAGTGGCGGTGGCTGCAGTGTAACTTAGGGTGCTGAGACAAGCAATTCGCTCCAGCCTTCTGCCTTAAGCATGCACTCTCTGGGGGTCTCCTGCTAGGTACAACGCTGCCTGTGGTTGGTGACCAAATCTTCCCTCGTGACTTCAGCTTCTGTGAAAGCCCAGTTATGGTGGGGAGGGACACTCCTAAATTGCTGGGTGACTGAACTTCAGATTTTCTCTCCCCTTTCACATGGATTTCACATCTCTTTAGATAAAACTGACTAGTTTTATTTATGAAACCTTAAAATGTAGAAGTCTAAAGGGGAAATCATTCCAATATCTGTATTTTTTTCTCCTTTAGCTTCAGACATTTATATAACATTAAAACACTTTAAAACTCCTACTGGTAGTAAAGGGGATTTAAAAATAGAATTATAGCCATAGCGTGTTCACATAGAGAACAATTGTCCCAGTACCTATGGACTTACTTTGTTTGCTGTTTGAGTTGATTTTACTTACATTTGGAGAATCAAGGAACATTCTTAGAATGCCTCTCTCTGACCCACCTTAATGCTGATTACATAGTGCACCAAAGCTGTCACTGGGGTGAGACTATTAGCAAAGTCGAGTCCCATCTCTATAGAAAGGGGCTTCTTACCAGGTTTCCCTTTGTCATTGGTAGGCTTCTGCTGGACATATGCCAACCCACCTGCACAACATATTTTTCTCTTATAAATCATGCATTCATTGCATAATGTGTGGTAACTTGAAAATATATTGTGTTCTTAGACTGCAGTACCCTAAAATGTCCACATGACCTGTGGAAAATTTGGGCACATCTCCAGGTGTTTTTTCCATGAACAGTAAAATTAAAGCATAAAACCTTAAATTTGATATCTGGCATTTGGAATGTTAAACTTACTAAAAATATTAGGTTTTTTCCTTAGCCACGTCATGCAATAATTGAATGTACCTCAAATTTTCAAAAGAGGAAGAGACATACATTCAGATTATGGGTAATAAAGACTAATTTTTTTTTTTTTTTTTAAGGCCATGTAGCATTGTGCAGCAGGGTTAAACTATTACTAAGAATAGCCAGCCTGGCTAGTAAGTTTTTTCAAACAGTTACTGATTGGTTGGTGGTATGGGGGGGAGGGGGAAGTGTGTGTGTGTGTGTGTGTGTGTGTGTGTGTGTGTGTGTGTGGTTTTTTTTTTTTCCCCCATGAGCGCTTTTTTTATTCTATGGCTGTTTCAGTTTGAATTAGCCTAACCCTGTAACTTTCCTATGTCCAAGAACACAATCACAAAATAGTTTAAATACTTTGATACATTTGGCTAATTTTGCTGTCTTAATGCAGCCTATCAGAGCTGGATGTCCTGATTAGAAATGGAGGGCACTCTATCAGTCTACAGCTGGCAACGTAGTGTAGCAGGGTGGTTTTTTACCTTTGTTTTCTCCTCTTGACATAATGCTATTTAAAGGGCCTGAATTGTATCCTTAACAGTTTTCACCTTTGCTTTCAGAGTGTTCTGTTGTAGTTGGCTATTACAGAGAGTGCATTGTCCTAGCATTCCTAAGCTTGGTCTGCTTTCGAAGCCATGGTACCAAACCATGTGATTCTTTGTACAGTTTATCCTGATGTTCCTTGTAATGCAGCAGAGGCTATCTTGCCTTCCCTCTTTCTCAGCCGTTTTGTAAGCCCCATAATTATGAGACAGTTGCTTGAGAAAATTACATATAAACATAGAATAGAATAGAGTGGCCAAGACGGTTTGCAATTTCTTCTTTTTTTTTTTAACTAGGTTATTTATAATGTATTTCTGAGCCACTTGGCAGAGAAATTCACAACACTTAAATGTTTATATTTTGAGTAAAGGAAGCTAAAACCATTTCTGCTTTTGGTACTACATGCATTAGCAAAAGGTTAAGTTTTGTTCTCCACTGAAGTACTATTTAACATCTTAGACAAAATCCTGCATGTTCTGTAGTTTTGTATTAAGTCATTGAGTCATTTCTTATGCACTGTGTCAAGTACAATCAGGCAGTTTGCCTGTGACAGTAGTTGCTAACAAACTCTTCGCAGCGCCCTGCTGGTTTCTGCCAAGTCAGAGACAGCACCTCGGTGTCCCAAGTAGCTCTTCTGTGCATAGTGGCATAGTGCACCCTTCAAACCCCAGCCTGGCACAGATGTGCACTGTTGATAGATGCATTGTGTGGAGGCTGCAAACAGGTAGGCCTTTTATTCATTGATTTCTTTCCCCAAGTGCTGGGTTTTTAATCTGTATGTACCTAATTGATTTTTTTTTTTCCTAAAACTTCAACTAAGCTGCTGTTTTCTTCCATGCAATATCGTGTACTCAATTGTGTATAGAAGAAGCTGGTAAGAGTGCCCTCCTACATAAATAAGCAATTGCAGTGTTTTGCATGCAAAATTTTAAAAAACTGAATCATCCTGATTCTATTTTGTAAATGGAAAAACAATCATATCTTTCTAAGCAGTAATGGAGGAAGACTAGTGCTTTGTGCATTTTTGATATATTTGAGTTCATTTTCCCACAACATTATACTTTTGACACAATTGAGTTTCTCATAAGTATCCTAGTTCATGTACATCTGAATGCTAAATAATAACTGTGTTTCAGTTTGTGTTGCAAGAACAAATGGAATAAACTTGAATTGTGCTACAGCTAACCAGTGCGCAGCCTCTTTCTTCAGTTACTCCCGCCTTTCTTTGCAAACCTTGTCCACAATCATATCACAACCTTGCTTAGCTTAAACTTTTATTTAGCCCAAATTACTTTACCCTGTTTCTAGAATGAAAAAAAAAAAAAAATTAATTGAAGTCAACCCTATGAATCATTGAAAGGTTTTGTTTTGTATCCATCTCTTCAAGCCTTTCATTCTTCACTTGAGTTGCTGGACATCTTTGGTAGACTTCCATCTCCAAATTCGTGAGCACCAGCACTTATCGTAAGGTATACTTTTCAGGGTGAATGATTACTTTGAACCTCAAAAACTGAGCAGAATTATAGGTGACATTAGATTCTGTTGTAATCTGTCGCCACCAGAAGACTGTTCCACTTTCTTGTGAATAAGTCCATTAGTGATAGAAAAAAAAGTGTGTCAATGCTAATATATCCAGAGCTACCGTGCTGTGAGCTGAAATGTATGGCAGCCTGTGTGGCTGAGGGTGGGAATGTGTGGAGATTTTTCCAATACAATTCTCAGTTTACTAATTGAGAACTGTTAAAGATGTTAAAAATACACCCACATGTGCTTTAAAGAAAATAGAGCCCCTTTATATAGTGATTGAGGAGCCAAGCACCGGATGCAAATGGGAGACATACATCTCAAACAATGAATTTAGAGTGAATTTTTTGTGTGTGTAATTAAAGAACCTTCACACAGCACAGCACACAGGCTGCCGTGTGTGTGTGTATAAATATGGATATAGATTTTTTTTTTTTTTTTTTCCTTTTTGCAAGATCAGTGATCCTGGAAATATAGTCATTGGACCAGCAGCATCGTAAATGAGAAAGGTGGTAGAAATGTGAATTTTGGGGCCCCAGCTGAAATGACTAAATCAAATCCTGGCACTGGTTCTGCAGTGCCCTTGAAGGTTCAGTATAGAAATTTTATACATAGATGTCACCAGGCCTGGCTGCCCCTCGGGAGAAAGTGGAAGCCCTTAACTCATGAGATAGCAGAACTCTGGCCAAGTCTTGAAGTTCTACACACCCAGGAAAACCACACTGAGCACTGACATTCTGCTTTGGTCAAAGCCAAGGTAAGACGGAACACTTGAAAATCATCAGTCATTATTCTTAGAGGTTTTGCTTCTGCTAATTCATGTTCCATCAATCACTGTGGACAGCGTGGGCTGCTTCCTGCATGGGCAGTGGTGGGGTTGCTCCAGTCGCCAAGCCATGTGCCTGGCCACCCTGTGGCAGCTAGAGAGCCCCGGGAGCTGGTGCTGCCCTGTACTTGGCTGTGGCAATGAATCCCTCCACCCTCAGTGGGTGCTACTCTGGCTGGGCAACAGGCAGCCTTTGTGCTCCGTGCCCTGGGATGGCACATGTTCTCCACCCCACAAGCTGATGTTTTCCACTTTTTGGTCACCCTCATTCAAGTTAATTTCCCCAGATTCCAGCCACATCACGTACCAGCCATGGGGCATTATCTTCCAAGAGTTATACTTAATAAAACACAGATCTAGTTGATAAAATTTTCATGAACTTTAGTAGCACTTCACACATGGCAGATGTCCACTGTATTTGTCCTGAATTACTGAGGAAAGTCTGTCTCAAGTTACACAGGAAAATGAGAAAGCCTTGATTCAGGGTCCTGCCCAAGGCAGTGTATTGGAACCATGAGTGTCCTCAGCCATTGGCAAAGAGCCTCCTCAGTGCTAACTAACTGGTGGTGCAGGCTCAAGTCAGTGAGGGAAAGACAAATAGCACAGTCAGAGTGACTCACTGAGGAAATGCTGACCATGAGGTCGGACACAGGCCGCTGTGAGCCATTGTGGGCTTTACTAAAGCACGGCTGTAAATGGCACAGCAAGCCAAGCATTGTCCAGCCGCCCTGGCAGCTTCCGTGCCCCAGCAGCAGGGTCAGTCCTATTCATGTGCTCTGGGTGGAGGATTGTGTAGCACATCTGGCAACCTCACAGTATTTTGTCTCACAAAGGGAAACAATGTCTAGCAGCCACTAGATGGCAATTTTGAGGATATTACTGGATAACTAAACGTCTTTTAAAGAAGCTCATTTTCTAAAGTTCAAATAAATCTGAAAATGTACTATGTCCTGTGTATCCGATCAGTGCACATATTCTGTGACAAGCTACCACATCTGTGTGGCACCTGCTGGTGACTAGTTTGTTAGTCTTGAAATTACTCAAATCTAAACCAATTTCTTTTAAATTTTCACTTTTAAAGGCCTTGAACTTATACCCCAGCACTATGAATCTGGAAACTCATACAACTATTGTTCTTTGTTCTTTGTTTTGAGACAGGGTCTCACTATGCAGTTCATGCTGGCCTTGAACTCACTGTGTCACTCAGGCTGGCCTCAAACCCTCAACAGTCCTCCTGCCTGAGCCTCCTGAGTACTGGGATTGTAGGCATGCACCACCCCACCTGGTTCATTCTTTCTTTATTATCATTTATTATCATTTATTTAGAGTTTTAGGGCATTTTGCTATTTATCCAATTTGAACTGAACACGCTGTGATCTGAGCACTAATGCCAAGTGTTTTATGTGAGCTCATTCATTTGACCTTTGTAACAACCCTAAAATAAGACTTGGTTAGTCTTGCTTTCAGATTAAAGCTCAGAGACATGAAGCTTGTGATCGCACAGCTAGCTAGCAGGAGAGCCAGGCGGTCTGGCTGTCGAGGTGGCACGCCTTATCTCTTACACGGCCCCTCCAACCTGCATGAACCAGCTTGCCCATTTTTCAGCTTTTGCTAACACTCCTAAAACATTTCGATGAGCTCGCTTTGGCAGCACATATACTGAACATTTAGAAAACATGTTAGGATTTTAAACAATTAGATGAAAAGTCTTAGGGAGCATGAGTATGCATTGATCAGTTCCTGTGGTGAAATAAGATTCTACAAAATCATTTAATTTTTAAGTTTGAAAAGTGTGTAACACTACTTAACAGTCTAGAGAATTATGGTTAATGAAGAATTGGTAAACTAAGGACCACAGGCCAAATGTAGCCCAGCAGCCGTCTTTTGTAAATAAAAGTTTTGTTGAAAACAGCCCTGCCTGTTCACGTAGGCATTACCTGTTGGCTGCTGCTACCGCACTTAAGCAGCAAAAGTAAGTTACAGAGACTGGTTCACCAAGCCCAGGATAATTATCTGACCCCTGAAAGAGTCTGCCGGCACCGGACAGCAATGTGTAGGAGTAGAGGTTCGGCCAACTACTGGTTTTAACACAGTCAAGGGGTAATATAATGAGTTAGTTGAAACAAATGAAAGCCCAAGCCCGAAAGTAATGTACCATTCTTTACACACGAGTGATCCCCAGTGAGCCGTGCCTACTGGTAGCCGTGTCCCTTGTAATCCCTTCCAGTGTTGATTGTTGTGCTTGACGCAAGAGATACATCAAAACATGAATCTTACCTTATGAAAAAAATATTCATAACCACAAACAAGAGAACACGATAGTTGCCTCACTCTGCATCATGATCTTGTTAGTATTCACACAGAGGAGGAGACATGCACCAAAAAAAAATTCTTACAAAAAAGAAACATAACACAAATTTGTCTTCAATGAGCTACATTAAACTCATAAATGAAACCAATTAGGATATATATTAAGATGTTTTCAAAAAATAGAATTTGGTATTTCAGAAGTGTTTGAACTTCTCCCTGTTTCCAGTTTCTCTTCTGCTTTGCTCTTAACTTTGTTTCCCACACACGAGAACCCACCCGTGCAACATTTGAGCCTGTGCATCTGACTTACTTCATTTACAAATGTTTTCAGGTTGTATCCATTTACCTACAAATGTCTCGGGTGTATCTTCCTTCATGGCAGCAAAGTAGCTCATTCCTGGCCATCAGAGGAATGAAATTAAAATTACTCTGAGATACCGTCTTACCCCAGAAAGAATGGCTATCATCAAAAAGAAAAAAATATTAACAAATGTAAGGCTTGCTAGTGAGGGGAACTCCTCTGCATAGTTGGTGGGAATATAAACTAGTCCCACCACTATGGAAGTCAGTGTGGAGATTCTTCAAAAACTAAATATTGAAATTACATTTGGCTCAGCTTATTCCCTTCTAGGTATCTTGCTGAAAGAGTTAAAATATTATAAGGATACATGCCTGTGCTGATTTATACTACATACCAGTACTAACAGCTAGATCTTGTGAACATGAATCTTGACAGAGCTTTTTTCTCTTTGAGGCTTGTCCTGGGCCTCAGCATGAAAGTCTGGAAACAAATTATGGGACCTGAAGTGTCCCTGCTGACAGCTCCAGCCCTGTAAGTGGACCTTCCTACCAGAGGAGGCGAAAGCACCCTCACCTAGGGGTGTGGTAGTCCCAGAGGCCAAGAAAGGGCTCCAGGTGCAGGGACCAAAAGGGAGAGGAGAGTAACTATTCTGTGCACCATACACTCTAAAGGGAACCCAAATACCCACCACGTGTTCAGAGAATTAAACTGCAAAACAGCCTTGAGCCACATGGGCTCCTAATTGATTTACTGGAGAGGGACAATGAGGGCATCAATTCTGTGAATTGTGAGCTCTTCACTGCATTCAACAGCTGTTTACTGAGTGTAATAAGTCTGCGTTATAAATCTAACAGTGAACATCACTACCATGAGTCCTGGCTAAGCAGGACTTGTTTCCTCCTAGAAGAGGGAAAGAATGTTCTGGAAGGAAAGAAACAAGCCGGGCTGGAGAACACACAATGAGATGTCCAAGAGCAGCTCTTGTGTCCTTGGAGGGCAAGAGCCTGGCCTTCCTCAGCTGTGTGTCTCATGGCATTTGTACAACTGAGTGCCATGCTCTGGCCTTGGGAAGCTAATCAGCACCTGGTTAGAATTTTCCACACTTTAATTTATGGGGCTAGAACATTAACACAAGCCAAGACAGCAGAAGAAAGATAGAGTAGACAGATGCTGAGCTTCTGAGCTGGCCCTCTGGGAAACAGCCCAATCTCCACTTTACCACCC